TTAAAATTAGGCGTTGCCCTGTTATGACAAAGATAAGAACTTGCATTCTCTCGTGAGCTTATGTGACTTTGGAATTCTGCCCCAGATTTGGGGTCATTGAATATTTTTAAAGCAGAAGTAAATAGATTCTTATTAGGCAAGGGAATCAAAGGTTGTCAAGGTCGATGGGAATGTAGAATTTGAAATACAAACAGATCAACCTGATCCTATTGAATGGCAGAGCAGGTTCAAGGGGCTGAATGATCTACCACTGCTTCTATTTCATATGTCGAATTATTATAAGAAAGAAACACTGATGACTGTGAGTTCAAACCTCACTCCAAGTCTTGAAAGTACAATTTACTCTATCGAGGGAGTATTGCATTGTTGTAGGTTTTGCTGATCAGATGAAATGCTGAGCTCACACCTACTTGTTTAATAGAGCATTAAAGATCCCATGGTACTACCTGAAGTCGAGCAAGTGTCCTGTCTAACACTTATCCTTCAATCACAAGCATAACCAACAGATGAACAGATCATCAATTTCCTTGTTATCTCTGCAATCGAGCTGTTTGTACCATGACTGCCACACATACCTGCATTACAACAGATACAGCACTACATTTCAATGTAATTCATTGTATGAGGAAATACCTTGATGTGATAAGGTACTGCATAAATCCGAATTTTCCTTTTTAGTGCCCATACTAGCTCAGTTATTATTTTCATTTTAAAAACAATCCTAGATACCAAAACACACCATGGTTATATTTTCTGCTTATCTATTAGAAAGACTCACCATGCTGGCCATAAATAAATGACAGAACCATGCAGGAGGTGGAATCTTTAAATGTGAACATATTTATTATATACAAAAGCTTTCACATTCTCAGAGGCTCTTCCTCAAGTGATGAAGTGATACCAGCAGTGAATATATTTTTTTGAGGACACCAGAGAATATATGAAGAGAATATGCGGCAGGCAAAAAATATAAATACAAAGGTTTCCAGCAGAGAGATGTAAAATCTATTTTCAGTAGTTTCTAGTTCCATTGGGTTTGATGTGCCTCCGATAAGTCAACGATTTGCAAATGATGTTGAGTTTTAGTGATTGCATAAAGGCATCTAAATCACAACAATGGGTTCTGCATCAAAGACCACACAATTCTGTTTTTTAATATGCGCCTGACAGGAGCTCTATGCACCGGGGAGATGGCTTAATCCCTGTGATAGCTGATGATGTTTAGGCAAAGGGGATGTTTCATTATGATGTAGGTGTCATGAACATTTTCTGTGAATCTTAATGCTGTTTGTTGTGAGAACTGTAACATAAGAGATGATATGTTTGAATTTTTAAACACATAATACCATAGGAATGGCATCTTACAGCTGAAGTCACTGGAGGATACTGAGCCAGCCATTGCTGGTTGGAAAACTTCCTCAGTCTGTGAGAAGGCCATAATTCAGGAACAATAGTGAGTTATGACACTCCTTCACACAAGCAGAGAAAACACCAGTGATTTATCATCAGTGAAGCAATACTCTGGTTTCTGCTATTCATATTTGAGATTTAAGAAGACCCTGGAATGTAGTGATAATTTAATCCATCAGAATGTTGTTTTTAATTTCACTTGTGCTGGTAAAGAAATGTTAACCACAAGGTTTGCAGTAGCCAATATCTCATTTACAAACATTTCATGCAAACTTCAACAGATCATTGCACTTCATTTTCAAAGGCATGGATTAGCCTGTGTGTATATAGAGTTTATTTTTTAATTTTATTGTAACGGCCTTTCCTCCTTTCACAAGTTTACGTTCTCCAATATCACCAGCCAAGACCTGCCAATGCAGTTTTTTTTTTAACCAGTCACTGAAGCAACCCAGGTTGGTTTGGTTTTGGGTCCCTATTTTAGGAAGACATTAAGCTGCTGAAACCGGTTTCTGACTGGCTCCAAAGTATATTTAACCAATACTTGAGTATCAGATGACGAGAGGTTGATACCACCAAGATCAGGCCAATTGGTGATATGTTTTAGTGGTTTAAACTGTAGAGGTGGAGGTGATGGGGGCAGCAGATATTAGTGACCTCACTTGAAGCATGTTCTGGCTCAGACAAGATAGTACAACAATATCTGCAAAGAATTTCTGACCTCTAAAATCTTTTGACAGTGTAGCCTCTTGACTGCCCTCCACTCACCAATGAAGGAAGACATCAACTGTAAACTACTAAAGAGAAATACATTACTCCAACCAATGTTGCCAAACTTGTGGTCACAGCATGAGATATATAGATATCATCACATAATTTAAATTGTAAAGTTGGCCAACTTTAAAGAAGTCATATTTATTCATTTAACACAGTTGACTAGGTTTAATGTTTTGCATGCACATTCCTACACACACTGAGTATGTTGGAAAGAAAGACATCTTAGAATCTTTGTCACTACATTAACACTGACGAAAGGGAAGAGGAAAGTTGGCCCAGTGGAATGGAATGACCTGCTTCCTAATATAAGATATTGAGACCATAGTTATATTTCTGACCCATAAAATCCATCTTAAGTATATTTTGTAAAAGTATTTTTTTAAAATCACAGTTTGAAATGGTCACTGTTCAATTCCAATTTTCTCAGACAACTCTTTGCTCCAAAAGAAGCATGCGATCCACTTATCATAATGACTGCTCACTAGCAGCTTATGGCCAGTATTCTTCCAACTGTTTGTAGCTCTTCAGCCTTGTTCTTCACTTGCACTTTATGGGGCAGTTTTTCTTTCATCTTTGGAGATTTCTGTTTGTCAAGTACCTTCTGCCGTCTAAAATGTAACATTTGGAATCACTAGTAAGGAGATATATGTTGCAGCAACACGTAGAGAGATTCAGAGCTGTGACTCAGGACTTGATGAAACTCAACAATCAGTCTGATCTCTCTCAGTAGATAATGATGTCCTTTTAATATCACACCTTCTACTCCTATAGAAGAATAAGAGATATTATAAAGTGCCATTTGACTCATCAAGTACAAATGCTCCACTGAAAAGTTGTTCTCTCCCATTCAAAATCATACAAATTTGATCTCCAAGTGAAAGATTCTGCAACTGTGCTCCTTGTCCACACTCACAGGACAGGTCAATCCAAAGTCCCAAATACCTCCCTGTAATATTAAGCCCTGGGCACTTCTTTTCTTTGGCATGGCATTTCCAAGCTCTCAGCAGCACTACCAAAACCTCTCATAATATTAATCAAGGCAGTAACCAAATGATAGGGGATACAAGAACACCCATTCAAACTCAAACAGTGGAAACGATTTACACTTTTGAAAAATCACTGCTTCTCAGCGATTCTGTCTGAAATTACTCATTGCACACTCTCCATATCAATGCATAAGAAATATGTACCATGTGATATTGCCAGTTGCATGGCTCTCCTGAGAGCCTCATTTACCTGTGAGATAATAATTGGCTTAATTTTAACCAAACGCACACGCCCCCATTCAAAAGATAAATGGAACACTGATACATTCTTGTCCTCACCCTAAACTTCAAGCTGTCAGGATTTCCATTGAAATGTATGAATTGGATTCCAATGGTGTACATGCATCGTCTTTGTGGCGTACAATGGTGAATTTCCTGTCAGCCAAAACCTGCTTCTTTGTAGTCCAACAGGAACAGAAGTCTTCCAGGAACAACAAGCAAGCTTTGTCCCTGCCCCAACTATCTCCCCCTCACTCCCTCCTGGAGTTAAAATTGGGTTCAAAACTCTTCCAATATAAGTATTAACTACACATTCTATAATCTAATTCACAAGTAAGGGATAATCTTAAAATAACAAAATATGGTATAGGGTCACCTCCAATCAAAATAATCACAACACTCTCTGGTGTTTTGCATATAAATAGCTGGAAATAACGAGCACATTATCTGCATATATATCCTGAACGATCCAAAACTTTTGGTGCCAGTTCTCCCAGATTTGGTAAAGTATCAATGTTGTACACAATCCTGTACTCTGCAGACACTTAAAATTTATCCACTCCTTTCCACTTCCCAGACCCCACACTACTTTCTTGTCTCATTGAAGTAAGATTGTCAATTTAGCGCTCATTCGTGCTGATTTATGGTCATTTTGTGCTGCCCAAAGACATCTCACAAAGGGTTCCTCAAACCAGCAGAGAAAAGATATTTGTCCTTACAGTCTTTGCCAAATTGCACAAACACCCTGAAGAGGAAAGACTGACAAATGCATTCATCATACCCTAATCAGCTTGGTTTCATATGTTTTACTTCACTTATAATCTATTCTCAAAGATTAGAAAATCTCATTCATTATTCTTATGTTGCCATCACTATATTTTGTTTAAGAAGTTATCAGTCGATGATTGTGTAATACTGCTATCATCACCAATGGATATATACCTGAATTTAACTCTCATTTAACTTCCTTCCTGGCTCATAAATCCACACCCAATTGCTGTCATGTTGAGTGTTACAAAGTTGTGAGAAATTCTTGTTTATGTATTAAGTGACTCACCTTTGTGTTACTGTGTGAAATTCACAGTGAATGACAATCCAGGCTTGAAATTTATTAAGTGCCTGACTATCATCATTGTGTACCAACCCACTCTTACCTCATGCCTAGAAAATGGACATATTGCTCATCCATTATCACCCCTTCACTCCTCTGCTCCACTGAAATGCATATCGTTTCATAACAATAAAAATTTATGACATTGCTCATAGATATTCTGATATTGTACATCGCATATAGTACGCTGCAGTATTCTGTTTGGAAGGTTATAATACCTTGACTCCTTTTACTGGAATGGTTAATAGTCTTTTGTTCACTGCTGGTTGATCAGGTTGTGCCAGTGCAGTCTGGGCATAGTGGCTTCAATTCAAAAGCTCTAACAACCGAACACTGCCTCTAGCCCACGATGGTGTTTATGTGCGAATGTGAGCACTTTATAAACGGGTGTACAAAGAACATTTTGCATAGCAGCAATCTATAGACTCCAGACAAAGCTGTGCTCACTGCCTGCAACTGATCATAAATGTGGTGAGAGAATCCTGCAAATAACACTGCTAATCTTGGTAACTGCTTTACATACCATTCGAGATAACCTAATACTGCAGCTGTATATCATTGGGAATGAGACCTCTGAAATTTGACTGTCTTACAGAAAACATCAATTTGATAAAAAGGTACTATTTTATACAATAAAGCTATTGCAAATAATCCCTTCACCCTTCAAACATCCAGCTGTATGCTACCTAAACCCCCAAACCAACCCTTCACCTTAAAACTTCACCTTAAGCCATTTTTGGAAAAAGTCATGTTATTCTAAGTTGGTGGTAATTTGAAACAGTAAAACCATTGACACTAGTCTAATCTATAAAGGGTGAAAAGTAGCTTAACTTTGCTTATTTTTTTGGAGTAAGTCCCAGCAGCACTGATAGTCAGATTCACTTGATTATTATTACAAAGACAGAAAATGATCTGTGACTAACTAAGCCTGTGTTGTTACATTTGTATATTTAAATAGAGCTGGGTGCCTAAGACCGCATCATGGTTTTATTTTGTTTCATTTCCTGAGATAATCAATGCATTTTATAAGAAACCAGTCTCATCTTGCATAAAATTTTCAACCATTATAAAACTAGCAGTAAATGAAAAGCATGCTTGAGCAAGACATGTTATGATTGAGTTGGCGATGTGTAGACAAAACTGTCCGTTTGCTGCCATGTAACATAAGTATGTATAAGAAGAGTCCAATATGTGGTAATGAATTGTGACAAGAGGCTGAAGATAAACAGGCCACCAGCTAGGCTTCTGGCACGTCTAAGTGCTACATTTATTCACCAAAAGTGCGGTAGAATGTATTTTCTTGGTTCCGTGCCAAAGACCCTCTGAGCCTCAGAGCTGTCTGCCTTTGTTTGGCTACAGCAAACATTCACATTAACAGCTGCTTGCAAATCAACGTGGTGACGGCTTTCATGCTGTACTGAGTAACCCACAATCTGTGAGCTGTTCAGCTGACCCCTTTCAGATCCATCTGCACACTTCTGCAAGAAAACATTACCAATGCACTACATCGGTTTGTCACCAAACAGACAGCTAGACAAAGTTCAAAAGATGTTGCCGTTGCATGAGGAAGGCGTGAAGATAAAGGGAAGGCAATAAATAATGATCAAAAACAAAATCCGTAAGAAGTGGGATGAGAAGAGAGGCCACCAGTGCCAATTGTACACTTTTCACAATTAGAGCGACAGCCCCCTTTTGTAAAATAAGCGGCTTTCTGTGTTCTGAACCTGGCAAAGGTCTTTTCTGTTAAACCCAGTGAGATGTAGTGATCCAATTTGCATCCAATCTCATCAGTGTATCACAAAAGCATCAGAAGATCATTTGTGTGCGATGTCATTGCTACAAATACAAACCTGTTCTTCTCCCTACCCCTTTCACAGGTTCGCTGGTCAATTCTAAGTTATTATAGTTGACTAAATTCAATCATTTCATGGTGTTACCCATTAATCATAGGCCAATCTGATCATGGGGCATGCTGCATGATGGCTGTCCATTTTTATACTTTAGATACACCATAGGTTTACTGACCCCACCAGAAACTCCCAGCAAGGAGTTGCATTTACTTGCAGAATTAATCAGAAAATCCCAAATCCTAACCCTGTTTAAAATAATCAGTGAAAAATCAGGAACTGTGGCTCCACTCCTTCAGTGAGTTGTGATGCTGACTGGGAATGTCTGGTCAGGGAATCAGCCTTCATATGCATTACATTCCCATGTATTATCAATCTGGCCTTTAAATACCTGCATTCATTCTGCACCTCTGGCTTCCTGGCCTTATATCATGTGCTCACGCCCAATCAAGAAGGTATTACTTTCTTAGTCAACTTAGTTCAAATTTGAAAATTACATTTCTCTGTTCTAGATCCAACTATTTGAGTGCTGTTCTTCGGAGGGTGAATGGGCCAAGTGGCCTACTTCCACACTGTAGAGATACTATGATTCTATGTTATTGTCAGAAAACTGAAAGAAAAGTATGGAGTAAAAATGTTTCGTGAGTGGGAGGGAGTAAGTGACTGTGATTGACAATATTGACAGCGCTTTGTATTGTTCTAGCACTGATCTGTGGGAACACGATTTAGGAGCTGAAACTTTAAATGGTGCATTATGGGTATCTGGGTAAAAATATTGAAATCAAATAGTACACGCAAATATACATATAAACCTACAAATTAGGAGCAGGGGGTGAGCACACTTATCCTCTCGAGCCTGCTCCGCCATTCAATAAGATCATGGCTGATCTATGATGTGGAGGTGCCATTGTTGGACTAACGTGGACAAAGTCAAAAATCACACGACACCAGGTTGAAATCCAACTGGTTTATTTGAAATCACTAGCTTTTGCAGTGCAGCCCCTTCATCAGGTGCACTGAGAGGAGATCTGATCTAATTACTCCACCCTCCTGTGCGCTCTCTTGCTTCATAAGAATCTGTCTTCTTCTGCATTAAAAATATCCATGCTGTTTTTACTACCTTTTAAGGAAGAGAACTCTGAAGACTCATTGCCCTCTGTGAGTAAATAATTCTTCTCATCTGTCTTAAATGGGCGACGCATTGTTTTCAAACAATGATCTTTTGTTAATAGCAAACATTTTTTCCATATCCTCCTTGTTAAGATCCGTCAGGATTTTATATGTTTCAATCAAGTTGCCTTTTACTCATCAGCATTGGTAATGCCATTGAATGCCAAGAGAAATGGTTGGATTCTCTCTTACTGGAGATGCTCATTGTCTGACACAGATGAAACTTGCCACTTACCAATCCAAGGTTATTGTCTAGGTCTCTTCTTGTGAGTTCTGGGAGTGTTTATTCATGCATCATATAACCCATATCAACCTTCATATACATTACATTGCAAATATTATTACCCTGATCTTAAAATACCTCCAATGATTCCCTATCTCTGGTCTCTTGGGCATATGCCAAATACTCAAAACCCTCATGCAGATGTTACTTTCTTCAGTTTGGTTATAAACAGATTAGTTCAAATTTTAAGATTATGTTTCCTTACTCCAGACCCTCCTGTTTGAAGGAAGACCCATCAATTCCTGTAGGCATAAACTGAGACTGTCACCACATGTTGTCATTTTAAGCATTATAAAAAGGTAACCTTTGACATCCTCCTGCAGGAGGTAACTCCACACCCCTTCATAGCTAAGTGCATTCATGACAGTTCCTGCCTGATTATTTCTGGCCTATCTCTGAGACATATTGGTGGAGTTCGGGAAGAAGGCACGGAAAATGTCAGAGAGGTTAAGTTTGGATGTAAAGGAAGCATGTATAAGGTGTTCAGCAGTGGCTGTGCTGAGTGAAGGGCAGAACCAGCCAATGATATGGCAACAAGGTGCAGGGCTGGACGAACACAGCAGGCCAAGCAGCATCATAGGAGCAGAGAGGCTGACGTTTCGGGCCTAGACCCTTCATCAGAAAAGGGGGAGGGGAAGGGGGTTTTGAAATAAATAGGGAGAGAGTGGGAGGCGGATAGAAGAGGGATAGAGGAGAGGATAGGTGGAGAGGAAACAAACAGGTCGAAGAGGCGGGGATGGGGCCAGGAAAGGTGAGTGTAGGTAGGGAGTTGGGAAGGGGATAGGTCAGTCCAGGGAGGACGGACAGGTCAAGGGGGCG